ATGTGGGTGGGAAGCAGGGACATAAACAAAAGTTCCTTGTGGTTCAGGGCAGTCATAAAATCTGTTATTGGAAGCAGTCAGAGAATGTTTTTTATAAAACCCTTGTGGAATGTGAATCTGGTTTGGAAGCAAAGGATGATTTAAAACACTGCATCCGGAAACTGGTCTTTTCTTGAAGAGTGATGACCTTTTGGACACAGTCTTCTTTCAGTGTTGCTTGAGATGCCCATGGCCTTACTCCAAAGCTTATGATTTGAAGACTGCATTTTTATTCTTGTTATCTCTCTAAGGAACTGTGCATGCGAATGTGACATCTAAATTGGTTACCAAGGATACCATCTGAACCAAACATTCCCGGGCTTTCCAGCTTGGCAAGGTTATTAATTTCTGAGTCAGTCCCGAACAAAACATTTTCACATTTGTAAGAAATTAAGGCTACACAAAGAATTGTAATCAACCCACTGGACAGATGGTATCAGATCCCTCATTTAATTTTATATAAAGGGAATCTGATCAGTTTTTCCAAGTGGCCTTAAAATGTTACAAAAGCCCAGTTTTGGAAGTCACTTCTCTGTAGGCCTCTTGGAGATGTGCTCCAGTATATAGAACAAAGTGATTTAAGCATTATTCATTACATCAGTTTTGCTCATTTGTTGTTGCCCTTCTCTTATCATAAGCCAGCAAGTAGGAGAACTAAGATGTTTCACAGGAAGGCAGTAGATTATGAGGACTTGTCAGGGTGCCACTCCAAGAGCTAAATCAGCCAAACCTTAGTGCATCATGACTGTTCTCAATCTGCTCCCTTCAAAGAAGTATTGTAGCTCCAATGAAAATTATTGATTTATTACATGCCTCTACTGCCAAACTGAACTGACACATGGCAGATTGCAGTAGGTATAATATAAAATGAAATCCCATTTACATATAAAATCAATACAATAATATCAGTAAAATAATAAAATAATACTAATGAGAACTGTGGTGGTGTCAGCCCTAGTCTACATGGCAGCAAGAAGTGTTTTGTTTTAGTCAAGATTCAGAAGGATGCTAGAGTAGGTGCCAGATGGGTTCCTAATTGGAAGTGTGGGGGGGACACAACAGAGAATTATGAGACTTGCAGTCTACAGTAGTGCCCCTGGCATATGGTTAAAGAAGGCTGTTCTACAGGGCATTATTCAGAAAAATGTGGCAGGATATAACTCATAACTAGCAGATATTAAGGTGCAGTAGATTTCCTTTTGAATGAGGAGGTCCATCAACTTACCCAGTTATGAATGATTTGGGGGGACTTTATTCTGCTAAGATTTGGAGCTGAAACACACAGAGTCCCAGTCTATTGAATATATATCAGGTGCCATTTGTACCTTTAGGAGTGCAGATGAGAGATCACATGTTTAATGGTTCCCCATATCAAACAAATCAAATCTATCTATTCTGATAGATTACCAGAGAGCATATTTTTCAATACCAACTTTTTTTCTGTGCCTTTCCTGCTTTTGAGCTCTTCCAAGGGGTCTGCCTGAGCAGTGTGGAAACAGAATAGGTCTGGTTAGGACTTTGATAGGGTGAGTTCTGCTTTTTTTTAATCTATTTATTTGCTTGCTTATAGGTAGTCCTCATGTAGCGACCACAATTGGGACCAGCAACTTGGTCATTAAGCAAAGCAGTTGCTAAGTGAAACTGCAACTGTGATTATGATCTTACTTCAGCTTTCCTGTGCTTTACAGACCTGCAAAGGTTGTAAATGCAAGGATTGGCTGTAAAGTTACTTTTTCATTGCTGTTATAACTGCAAACAGTCACTGTATGAGCAGTTGCTAAATGAGGACTACTATACTTCCTTATTTATTGAAATTTTATCCCACTGCCATCTCCTAACACTCTTAATAATGCTATTAAGTGCCATATGGTAGAAAAAGGGTGTTGACTTCTTTTAAAATAACTAAATAACCTTCCAAATCTGATTGCAGAAGACCCTTTGACCTTTTCTGAAGAGTCTGGGGTATCCTCAGGCAGTATCATCTTACCCGAGGCTAAATAATAGGTGAGACTGGCAGAAAGGAGACCAGGGCTCCTCAGTTACTCAGGAGACAGTTGAGGTCCACAACTCATATGCCTCTAGATTACAGATCATTCAGGTCCTGGTTCCATCCCTTAGGCTTCTTATGCAAAGAGGTCAAGTGACCATGCTTGCAGCTGTGTGTTAGGAGCACTGAAACTAGAATGCAGGCTGCTACCATTTGCAGTCAGACATGTTGTACTGAAATGAGAGACAGAGAAGATTCCGCCTTCATCTATGATTGTTTCTGTTGCTCTTTTATTCCTCTTTTACTCACTTTGTTATGTCATCCATGTTTAATGCACCACATTCTGTTCTTAATTTTAGTTACTTGCTGAAACAAAAGTTTTAAATACCTTCATTTGATTTTCCTTAAGTACAATGAAATACACAGCTTGAATTATGAATTAGAGGTGTACATGACTCAAATCTAACTGAATTGTGTCTTTTGACATTACTTAGAGCACAATGTAGGTACTGGAGAAAACAACTTTAGTCCTTCAGTGTTCATGGATTTTGTTCCACAGCCAGAAGACCACGTGAAGTTTAATGGCACATTTTTTCAAGTACAAGGAACTAATGACAGCTGGAAACAAACTACTTGGAAGCAGAATATACTTAAAGCATCATATAACTTCATAGATTTTGTTAGTAGAGTGATTCAAGGGTAAAGGGAATGTCAATTGCCTATTTACGTCCATTTTGCTGGACCATCTCCAGCCCCTTTTTCATATTTATTATAACGTCAACAACTCAAGCCATCACAGCAGCTTAGAAGTAACACAATACTTAGAGAACACAAGATAAAGCATGTCAAATCAGATATAAAAGACCCCCTTCCCACCCGATGTATAATGATATCTAGCTGCTCTTAGGAAGAGCTTGACCAAAGAACAGGAAAGTTAAAAGTGCCCCCTACAAAGAAGCAGCAAACATGAACTAGACAACTGTTCTAAATAAAAAGTCCATTCCAACAAGTGAACTGGTCAGGATAAAAGTCAAGGACAAGTGAAACCAGAGAACTCCTCCGCAGACCCACTGTGGAGAAGAGCTATGGAAATGGCATGTTGTAGGTTGTTGGAAAGTAGGTGGACTCCTGGATGTTGCTGCATGCAGCAATCTATTGGCTCAAATTCCTGGTCAGGAATTCCAGTCCTGTCCACAAAGCTTACCGTATTGTTTTCAACAAGTGTCTCCCTTTCACTAGCCTTTTGTCTACAAAAGACATGCCACATGTCTTTTGTGTGGCATGCCTTGAGCTGCTTGGGGAAAGGGCAGGATATAAATAGGATGCAATAAAGAAAGGATTAGACCTTAAGCTGATCTTCTATTCATTGAAAGGGGAGTTTCTGCCAACTCCCATTTCCACCCAATGTCATTCCCTCCACATTATAACCTATGCTAGTCTTTCCCACTCTGCCACTTTTTCCAAGCAAACTACTGGAAGCAAGGACCTGCAGTCCAGCACAGCTGTGAAACTCTACTCTCAGAGTATCCTAACACTGTAGCGTTGGGTGGTGGTGGTGGTGGAGAATGGATGTGATTAAATAGGAAAACAAAAGCAGGAAAGCCCTGCTTTCAGTTTTACTCATTCAGTAAAAATTAGGATCCAAACCATGTGTGTTTTGTTAGATGAACTTTTCTTGCCATTTGGTCCTACAAGTATAAGTTTTGTTAGGGCTGCTAATCCTTCATATGATTCCTTTCTAAGCAGTAGAGCTAACTTAAGATTTGTGTCAACCTTCAGATTCTCCCTGCCACCCAATGCGCACACGCGCACACACACACACAGTGTCATGGGGCAGTCCCCATCCTACTGTTTTTCCAGCCCATAAAAGGCCACCCTTAGATAGATAGATAAATGAGCATTGCTGGGGATTTGGCAATGGAGTTGCCACTGGAGGCACCAGATGTGTGGGTTTGGCCACCAACAGGCAGCAATGAAAGGAAGGCTGGGCCATTGGCTTCAGCCTGACTGTGCATCTGGTGCTGCCAGATTTGTCAATAAGAAGTCACTAGAAAAGTCAGGATTGTTTGAGTTCCTTTTTTCTGTGACATTCTTTTCAGTATGATTAAAAATGAGGCTTTCAGTATGATAGCATGGGCAAAACGTTGGATTCAAAGACAAAAAGATGCTTTGGAGTGTGCTAAGGCACACGTGTAGCACCTGTCTGTAATTATTTGGCTAAACCTCTCTTTCTCTGGGATCACACCAAAGCTGAAGTTCAGCACAGTTCTATAACATAAGCTTTATTCTTTAAGCACACCTGGAAGTACTGACCTGTGTCACATGGTGAGACAAGCAGCCTCAGTGCAGTCAAAACACATTAATATATTGCAGACAACTCTAGGATGATGCACTTTGCCCCCTGGACTGCCAAACACCTTGTGCAGGAAGTCATATGCAAACTTAAGTGGAAATAGCTGTTGTTTGCTCTTCAAGCCCAGCTGGGCACTTGCACAAGCTCTTGCATCACTTTCACACTGCGGTGAAAGTGTTCTCATTGCTGCATTTTGTCCCTTCACTGAACTTGCCAGCATTCTCTTTGCTTGCCAATGGGAGAGTACAAAAAATGGCAGCCAGATGGTATCCTGGCCCACCCTTGTTATTCCCTCACTGCATTTGTTTTATGCAAGAAAGGAAAACAACAATTAATCAACCAACAGGGAGGGAGAGTGGCAGACCCACCCCTTGGAGCAACTGAGGGTTGGGGAGTGGCTGTGGCTGCAGAGGAGAGATGAGAAATCCCAGGAGTTAGAGGGTGGGAATTCCATTAATAGAAAACTGCCTTCCCCCTCACAACTCCAGAGACAATAGAAGCAGGTTGTTTGGGTGTGAGTATGGGCCACCAACCATTTCTGAAGGGCTGGAATAGATTAACTTGCTTCCTGTTCACCAGCAGACCACCACAAATGTGACCTCTGTCTGTGTTTTCCCTGCAGGAGCATTCCCTCACCTGGGTCAGTTATGGCCAGCAGCACTCTGGTGCAGCACTCTAATCTATGCTGCAGGTAATGTTACTAATGGTATTTCAGGGCACAGTAGTTGTGAGATTTGCTTGAGATGCAGAGGTTCACCCAGCAATTTTTTTAATCACTATTTTTCTTTCCCTGAGTTACTCACTTTTCCACTGGGCTGGACCTTCCTTCCTTCCTTCCTTCCTTCCTTCCTTCCTTCCTTCCTTCCTTCCTTCCTTCCTTCCTTCCTTTTAGCCTTTATTAAAAACTACTGCAAAATCCTCAGGAAAAGTAACACAGCAATTAAAAATATATATTTCTGAAAGGTTTGAAACTGTTACTTTCTCCATGTCAGGCAAACATTATACCCACTGCAATACCAGGAGGCTTCTGCAAGTATAACTGTAGCAGACATTATTAAGCCAAACCTGGGAAAACGCAAGCAAGAAGTTTTCATTTTAAGCTGGTTGCTCGGTCTATGTATAGGTGAATGTTGATGCTTTAAATGTGTATATATAAATTTAATTTAACTTTGTTGGGAGGGCGCCACAGCAGAATTGTCCATTGCAGTCTCTGGTGAATCACTATCAAAACGTCCCAACCTATACAGATTTTGTTTTAATTGACCCAAATTCCCAGGTGTTACATTAAGAACCAGTGGTTTACACATAAATACAAGACTAGGTGAAGCTGTACAACAGCAAAGAAGAGTGGTGGAGACAATTGGCATGACATAATATAATGTGTCTCAACCTAGTGACTGGCAGATTTGTTGGGAGTAGAACTCCCATAATTCCCAAGACTGTGCTAGAGATTCAGGCCAAAGATGGGAGTACAAATGTACTGAATTTTGTGCATTCCAACCTACTGGAGGATACCAGGTGGGTGAAAATGTATTATTTCATACCCTTTCCCCAAAATAGTATCTTCCAGGTACTGTGAATGATGAAAACTGAATTTAATCACATCTGGAAGGTATAAGTTTGAAAAGTTCATCTGCATGGTACATAATTTCCTTTATCAGTTCGTTAACCTCGTTATTTAATAATGTTAACAATGTATCCCATCTTGAGATCATATGCAATTATATGGGCTAGTATTAGCTTTATAACCATTTCTCTCCCATTATTATTACCTTTGACAACTTTCTGTCATATTTAAATTAGTGTGTGTGTGTGTGCATGAATCCTTATTGTTTCCACTTAGAATAACTATTCTTAATCTGACCTATATGATAAGATGTTGGCAGGGGAAGGATGAGTTTTGTCTGAATAAAAATAATGATCATTTGGTGGGAGGAGAATATTCCATCTCCTTAGGAGAAACATCTTGAAGGTCAGTGCTTACTGATTAAAACCATATAAGTTGAGCTGGCCTGCTCTGTAAAGTCTAAACATCCCCTCATTTGAGAGGGATCTCACCAGTGCTTGAATAAATATTGACTGTAATCTGTCCTCCAATTTCTCAGAAATATTCTTCCTCAGAGAAGAAGATTTCTGTTTTTCTCCTTCATTCTCAGAATTCATCAGAATTTCTGAAGGAAGTAAGAGATTTATTGTTGCAAAGTGGATTTTATTTGTTTTCTATTCCCTTTCTTTTTTTAAATAATCCTAATTTGGCATGAGGTATTTTTCAAGAACTTGGTGTTTCTGTGTATGCCATTTGCAATTCCCTTCCCCCTTCAATTATTTTATATTTGCTTTGCTTGCCACTCAAATTTTACTCAAGTCATTTTAATTTCTCTTTCATGAATATAATATTTGATGTTCTCCACCAAATGCTTTCTGGTTAAAACACACACAAAACAAGTAAATGGAGACTGTTTTATGTATCCACTCCTTATATTTTTGAATGAAAGAGAACATAGAGAATTCGAATGTCAGCCCTTCTTCAGAATTAATTTTTGTTATACTTCTGAATAAACAAATGCACGTTCTTCATAATCACTACACAACCAGGCAAATTCTGACCTTGGTTTCTCATTTAGTTTGTTTTAGACTTCTCTGCCCACTTTAGAACACAGGCATTATAAATATCTCATTAACATGTGAGGGTCCTGTAATATTTGCAAAGAGCTATGCAGTTTTGGTCTGCCTGCATTATTGTTCACATAGCTAAATAATATGAAACCTTAATCCTTTCTCTTCCCTAGAACACAGATGATATGTTAATTGACATATGAGAGTAGGTCCTGTACAAATGTTTGGCTCATACACATATACTGAGCTATGTCACAACTGCTTCTCTTGGGAGCTCTCCACATAGAAAGGAATGTTAAGTGCTGAAAATATTAGAGTTTCCTACTCAGTCAAGAGGCTTCTTGAGGGGGAATATCGTTCAAGGGCAAGTTTGCTCTGCCCATGTGGGTTTTGACATTTATTTCCAAGAAGGTGCTCCAACCAAAGTGTGTATATATGTATGTGTGTATGAGAGAGAGGGAGAGACTAGGACATTCCCAGATGGCTCCATTGGTTACAAACCCCTTGATGTCCCAGTCTTATTGAAATGAATGAAGGTACCTTATATTAAAACACTAAAGGCTTACCCACACAATCTTGCAAAGTATTATTTCATGCCACTCAAACCATGCTGTAATTCTTTGATTATCTGTACCTAGAACAATCCTCTATACCAGTGTTTCTCAACCGTGGCAACTTTAAGATGTGTGGACTTCCACCCCCAGAATTCCCCAACCAGAAAGCCCACACAGCTTAAAGTTGCTAAGGCTGAGAAACACCGCTCTATACCTTGATCTAAACTATGGAAATCTTGAGGTTCATGCTGAGGCCTTAATAAGCCTATAGCTTGTCTTTTGGCTATCAATATGTATATTAAAATAACATTTAAACTCTTTTTATTGCTGGAGCTTGCTGGAACTATTCATCTGTTTTATCATGGATGTTAAGCAGCAGCTAAAATAAGAGGCCTAGCTTTTGCATTGTATAGGCAACCTTTTTTCTGCAGAGAACCTAATTTCCTCAAGGTAATTGGTCGCATGACTAGAGCGAAAAATATATAGGTACACCCATTCTGTGTCTGATACTCCTTTGAGGCACCCTGTTCTTTCTCTTCTGAATAGCAAGTTGTGGAGAATAGAACTCAGTTGTTGAAATTACTGTATGCCAAGGAACATATGAAATTAATCCGAGACTCATCCCCACTTTATAAAATTTTCTGACCAAGCGGCTAGATTAACAGAGAGCAAAATCTCTCTACTGTGGAGTCAGCACTTACTGATCTCTAAATTCAATAAATACGTTATACTTTGCTTTCAGTCTGGGACTTCCTTCAAGATCCAGCAAGGAAGCTGAATTGGTACTTTCTCAGATCGTTTCTTTTTTTGCAAAGAATTCAACATACGCTCTGAAACTCAAGGTTCCACTCAGGTAACCAACATTCATTCAGTTTAGCTACAGTTAGATTGACATTAGTGAATTCACTGAGAACTCTTTGTGACTGTTACCTTGATTGTATTCTTTTCTTCCCCACTCAGTAAACTTTCCCCCCCCAACTACCTGGATAGTTGGCACCATTGTTTTTAAAGGAGAATTTCTTATTTAAAAATTCCTGTGTATAGAATCCCGTCACTGCTAAGTTACCTTTTGCATGTTTGATTAAAAAGCAGTTCAGATATCAGTGATTTTAGTATCAAGGTGATTGATGGAAAATGTATGTAATAAAAAAATTACTGTAGTGGCAAAATAAAGAAGTTCATCATGTTTCTAAATTAGTCTAATTTTTTTTGTTTAATGATTTTTCCCCTAAATTTCATGTGTAATAACAATATATTTTATCTGCCAAAGTCCATTATTATTATTCCTGTTATTATTATATCCAGTTTGAGAGTGTGGCTGAGATATCTCATTACTTCCAAAAAAAATCCCCTAGACTGATTTTTGAAAATGGAGTAATTATACAAATATAGATGACACCCTGTCTTGTAGTTTTGGAAGCAAATTCTTCTTGCACATGATTGTTTTATTATATTATCATATCACAATAAAATTTACTTAAGTAACTAAGATGTTTGGCCATTATCACAATTATGATGATGATTCAGAAAGAAACAGAGGGCAATGTACATTAGCATCCTAAATGAAATTAATCTAAGAATGAGTTTTCCAAATCAAAATAAAATTCATTTGCCAGTCACAGGATGATAAACCTACAGCACTAAGGCTCCTGCAGGTCTCAGACTGATTTGGAAAGCTCTCTGCATTCAATCGGTTCCAAGAGAATCTGACAAAAATGGCGTCCCCCTCCCTCATAGCTCACTGGGCAGACAAGAAGAGGGAGAGAAAAAGAGAGAACAGAATGATGCCATTGACTATAAGCTCTCAATCTATTCATTACTGGCTCACCAACAGAATGTAGGTCTCAACATGTTACCTCCCAGAAAATGCTACCCTCAGCAGGAAAAGGTTCCCCACCCCTGTTTTTGTACTTTATGAAGAAATGGTTTTTCTTCATACTCTTGCCCAAGGTTTGCACAACTACTCAGGATGCATGTTAGCAAGAAATCTGGCACGATGCCCAACATCTCAAGAAGCTTGCTAGCACAAGGCCTCTTCTGCATGCAAGAAAGGAGAACTGAAATCAGTGCCATGCTTCGGTTTGTTCAACTTGTCTCACCATTTTTTGCACAGCATCTCAAGGTGCACATTGGCACAAGGCTTGTACAATTGCTTGGGCAAGATCTCGATGTACAGCTGCATGGATCATTACCAGCCCTTGCACAATATTTTATAAAACAGCAGCATTGCATTAAGTTCTTCTGCTAGATCCATCTTTTTCTTTGTACGAATTATCAGACAGATACTTCTACATCTGGGATAGATAATTTTTTGCAGCTGAGTATTTTACTATCCAAGGCCATGAATAGTTACAGTGTAATTGGTTCCTTTTAGGGGTTCTTTTGGAATTGGAGGATTAAACAAAATAGTTATTTTGCTTGCTTTATTTGCAAAAGAGAAAGAAGACTTTACCTTAAGCTATATACATCCAATCAAATCCACTCATTTAAATGGCTCTTGGAAAGGATTAGAGATCTTGGGCTGCTTACTGTTAAATAATTATTAGTAGTAATAACTAAATAAAACCATCATATTCAGAAGCAGATGGTGGGAATAAACAAATCAGGATAGTCATGATATTCATCTCTGGCTTCTGAGCCTCCAGGGGACAATGCTGGATAAAGTTGTAAAGAGTTGAACTAACTGAACTAGCCTTGGTCTGATTGGCAAGGAAATTGGTGTGCTCTTAATTCCACATATAGACACAGGGATGTTCAAAGAGTCAATCACATACATAAAATACTGATCACATTAGAAAGCCTGGGCAGAGGCAGTGGGGATGCATAACCTGCAAATGCTTTAAAATAAATTACCTATGACAGCGTAGGTTGGGGCAAGGGTGTGAATGAGCAAAGGTATGTTGCTACACCATAAAATATATTCACAAATGTCCACAGCTCCTTTTACAGTGGGGTGCAAAGTGCTACAGATGGTCTTTGAGTGGCTTGCTGGGTTTTGTAATCTGAAAGGTCCCATCTCTCACTCTAGCATTTAATTATTTCTGCACCACTGGGGAGTTGTTTCTATCATGTGTTTAATTTTCTCCACATCTACTTAATTTTTCTCTGTTTTCAAAGCTGGGGCTAAAGACTGAAACCATCATGGTGATTCACAGTTCAGCATGGAGAAAATCAAGTTATTGAGAGATTAAAATACAGAACCTGATGGCCTCAGAATACTTGCTTTACCTGTAGAAGACCCGCCAGTGGAAAGGCTTTGAAATTTTCATTGGATTTAGCTTCATCAGTTAAAATCTGGTGTAACTATTGCAGCAAAAGAATTGAAGTCTTCCCTGGAAACTAATAAATAATATGAAGCCCAACCTTGCCCAGATGACCTACAAGTGTTGCCATTCTTCAGCAAAGGAATTGCAAAGGGAAATGGCTGGAGTTAGAACTTACCAAAAACACTGATACCACTTGTTCAGGTTCAGATCAAAATCATGGCTCTCTATCCCACTCCAAGTATTATGGTTAGGATACAGGGATTTAAATTGTTTATCACATTTTAAGATAGTTTATAGTAGTTATTGATGCTCTAAATGGTTATCACTTGTTTATATGCTCTCCACAGATCTTGCATTTCATAGTCATTTGAACCCACTCTTCACCATCTCTGTCCTAGCGCTATGCATATCTCTATTCTTGCCCATAGAGGAAAGCACTGGATGAATCTAATGAAGGAGGCTCCAGAAAAGCTGACACAATACAACTTTATTACTCCTTTGGCTCTTTTCCTTACTGAGAGCAAACAGGTCTCCAGACCTTACTTGCAGATCCTCCTGAAAAGTGTTATTTGTTCTTCTCCTGCAAGGCTGGTGCCGGATCACTGAGCCATCATTTGAAAAGGGAAGTAATGCAAAAGTTCTAAGGATAGAAGCACTGTTTGTTAAACAGATTACCTGAAGATGCCTTCTTAGAAAACATATTGAAAGCAGCTTATAGCGATGGTGTGCCATGCTCCTACAAGGAACGGGGCAGCAATCATGCGCTCATCTTCCAACACTCGTGTATCTTTTGGAAGGGATCGGGGTAACAGTGATCCCCAGGTGCCAAGAACGAAGTGTTTATTCGTTAAGTTTCCTGCTTTCAGACTGGCAGGACATTCTGTTTTTCCTCCCAAAGAATAAAAGAAAAACAGTGGCACGTGATGCTTTTTTCTTTTAAACTCTTTCTGTTCTGTTGTGAAGCACAGTGGGGGAAGAATCATTAACTGTAATAAAAGGCACTGGGTTGGCTTACTTCATAGTTTTTCTACTATCTTTTATTTTTATTTTTTTTAAATCACAGATATTTTCATCATACGTGCATACAGAATTTGTGAACGGCTGAGAGTCCCTAATTGGATTGCAGCAGGATATAAATATAATAAATAATAATTTTCTGACCAAGTAAGCAACCTTACTTGGTTGGATTGCAGAGAAAGTTAGATCCTGTGATATGTTACTTACATAATTATATGCTTCCTTTTGTTTTATGAATTCAGATGAGGAACAGCAAGAAAGCTGCTGATGCTTTTTTGATGTGAAACCACAGTGTCTTGGTTTTGCTTGTTTATTATTGATTTTTTTATGCTGGCAATTACTGGCGTTTTAGTAACTTACAATGTAACAACATTAGAATAAATGAGGAAATATTAAAATAACAATTACATTTAACCCACAAGTAATTAGAAGCTTGGTTAAAAAGTGATGAACTGTTTAAAGCCGCTTTGAAATCTAGAAAACAGCCATTTTCTCATTTTGACATGGAATGTGTTCCACAGACTAGGGGCGGCTATAGAGAAGCCTCTGTCACACAACACTCTTTAGTCAAAAGCAAGCCAACATGTTATATCTTAGCTTGCTTTGTAAAGTGAATTGGGGCAAATTTATTTTATGTCACGTTGCCCTTCTGTCCAGGAGAAAAACATCTCTGTCAGCTTCACAGCCATTCTGTGAAGTAGGCTAGACTGAGAGATAATAACTGGTCCAGGTTCAGCAAGTGACATTTGCAGATAAAAAGGAATTTGAATGTAGGTTTCTTTACCTAGACCTAATACTATCCACCCTGGCCCATTTTAGTGCATGTTCAATATACCCCTCCCTCTTACTGGCAATTTTAAATTGAGGGGAAAATGTGATTTCTTTGGGCAATTGTCTGTGAATTTCTCTGCCACTGGATACATTAATTGCCAAAATATGAAAGGCTTTCTAGACAATATACATTCATTTTAAAATGGTCATTAATACATTTATCAATTTGCATTGAGCTTATATTTCAAAAAGAAGACAGATGAAAATGAGGAACGATTTGTATTTTATATCCTATCCTATTAATATTTCTTTCAAATACAGGGTGCAAGAGGAGACCTGATTTGCTAGCAAGACCAATTAGAGGATTATATACATTTAGTTTCATGTTATTTCCAAACAGCTAATCTCTTCATAAAAACATAGCATTTAGACTCTGCCACAGACTTGATGGCAACATCTATTTTTTCTTGGCTGATCTTGAAAAAGCTGTGCGGCATCAGACCTTGGATAGGAGACCATCAGAAAATTCCAGGACTTTAGATTAGATTGAGAAATTGAAAAAAAAATATCTGGAGCATTGTGCTGTTCAAGGCTCAAGCTTGAACAAATAGGGAAAATCCTGCAGAGAATGGCTTCTTTCTAAGCAGTGGTCAGAGGAGATATCTGCATTTTCTATCATGTAATGAAGCAACATGTTTTCCCAGTGTGTGCGTGCGTGGGCATGTTCTGGATCATGTGATCAGAAGCGAGGGGGCTTAGAATGGAAGAGTAAGTAACATTCCAAGCTATTCCTCAACAGCCCCACCCTTAGAGATGCATTGGGGGATTTTTTTGGGGGGGGAGGGTCTGGATTGTTTTCTTTCAGCCTGATCTAGTCCATTTTCAAACCTGATTTTTCCCACTATACCAAGTTTGGTCTCATTCTGTTAAGTTTTCAGAGAATTATTCTGCTGACAGACAGGCAGAGAGATGGAATCCTGAGTCCCTTTTCATGATTTCTTTCCAAAATTCTGGTGGATTGGAAACAGACCTGAATGGTGAAAGGTCTGAATACCAAGTCATATGAAGACCTACCAGAACACTGTGAAGTTGTTCAGGAGGCAAATTAGTGTGAATTCTACAGCCCTGATAATTAAGCTAGATTGATTGATTGATTGATTGATTGATTGATTGATTGATTATTTCCAGGGCTTATAGGCCACTCCAATCCATCAGCTCTGAGCAGTGTACAACTCCCCAATATGTAATTGGGATTAAAACCATGCATCATTTAAAAAAAAAAGCTACATAGTGTTCCTATGAAATTGGGAATTATGAATAAGACATTAACAGTAAGGGTAAAAAAAATCCATCAAAAAAATCCAAGAGATGGTCACAACAATCCAACACCCCCCCCCCCGGCTTGGTGGAACAACCAGGTTTCCACTGACTTTCTAAAAGCCATGAAGGAAGGGGCCAATCACACTTTGGGGGGAATGCTATTCCAGAGGAAGAGGGTGGTGACTGAAAAGCACACTTATGTGGCCCCTGCAGATGAAATCTCTGTTCAAGGGATGTGTAGCAAGCCTGCCCTTCTAGGTCTTACTGGACAGGTAGATGTTAATGGGGGAAGGTTGTCCTGCAGGTAGTCAAGCCCTGAACTATGAAGGTATTTAAAGGTGACAGTCGGCACTTTAAATTACACCTGGAAGCCAAATGACAACAATGCAGCTTTCTGTACTGTGGGGTTCTGTGGGTTCCTTGAGATGCACCTACCACTACTCAAGCTGCTGCATTCTGGACCAGCTGTAGCTTCTGAATGCTCTTCAAGGACACGTAGAACACATTGCAATGATCTGGGTGACTAACGTTTGTGGAGTCCTTGGGGTTCTCTGAGCTTGGTTCTTTTCTTGCAAACGTTTCATTACCC